TAGTCATTCTCAGTCTTTACTGAGGAAGAGGAAACCCCTGGTTTGGAATGGGCCATTAAAACAATTTGAGTCCAACATCCTGCAGGAACCCACGTTAAAGGGTTTCTGACAAACATCCAATGGGTCCTCCTGTCAAAATGCTCTTACCATCAGAAATTTTTTTTCCTGCTTTTCAGCTGCAATCCAGACTGGGTACTGACCTCAGAGACAAGAGCAAACCGATCGTAATCTCTCTATGGGATTCTCCTCCAGAATGCTGTGAACTTACCTACCTACTCTATCCCTTGTCATCCCTTCTCAAGACAAACCATGTCCAGTTCCCACAATCTTCCAGGTTGACCACAATGTCTAGGTGATGCATTAGGTCAGCAAACCAGATCTGGTTACCCAATCAACTCATTTTCCAGGTTTAGCTAATAACCCAGAATCACAAATCCACCAAACCTGCTGGGATTGTACAACGATAAAAAAAGCCTGATCAAGTTCTCATGATGTGCAAATGCAGCCATTAGGTCATCATCTGACCAGGCTATGCATGTGTGAATACAACTGCTCTTTGATGAACGGTGTTTACAGGTATCAGATGTAAGCTTAACTTGGGATAAATAGATTCATAGCTCATGTTCTCTCTTTATGCATATATAGCACAATTGATCCTGTTCAAATGCATGGAAGAACTGGGAGCATCCTACGTAACATGCAGCTACTCATCGTAACAGTTTTGCTGAGTCTCTCCAGAAAAGTGCTTCCCGTCAGCCCCCACTGATTGTCACTCACTTTGCTCTCTCTCTCTCATGGATCAATTTGTTCCACTCTCACGCAGAGATGCAACAGCGTCAGCCATTCCCCCAAAGGGAGACCAACTGCCCCATCTCTGTGGGGCGCAGACACGAGTCACACAAAGCTGTCAATTCCAAGGCTTCCATCAAGGCTTGTAAATATGAAAGGGAGATTTTTGGAGGGGGGGTCCTCTTTACCTTTTCACCCAACTCAAACCACCTCTAGACCTTGTGGATTTTTTAGAATGTGGAATGTTGAGAACATCGGTTCCAAATGCTTATGACTCTGGAATGTCAAAGGTGGAGTTCTGAGACCTTTTGGGATTTTGAGAATAGGTGGCTGCTCTCATAACAAACCTACTGGGGGAGATGGAGCCACTGACGAAGGACCACTTAATCAAAAGGCTGCCCATTGCTATCTTCCACTCCTGGAGGATTTTATTTATTTATTAATTAAATTTATATGCTGCCCATCTCCCCCAGAGGGCGACTCTGGGCAGCTCAATTAAAATACAAAACAATAAAAATATAAATATCCATATTAAAATAA